GCAGGATCGCTTCGCCAAGGCCGGAGCGAGCAACCTCCCTGGGTCTACCGCCGCGAGTGGTGCGGCCGCCGCAGCTGAGCGAGCTCCCAGGTCCCTAGCACAGCTCATGGAGCTCCTGCCAGATCTGCCAGTACCGCAGGGCCCGCTCCTGGACAACAGGGACGTCAACAACCTCACGCTGAGCCCAAACGACCCCAGGGACGGACCAGGCAGTGGAGGACTGTCCGCACAGCGACAGCTCGTGACCTACCTCCGTGATTTCCACCCTGGGCTGGACTTCACCTGGAGACAGTTCTGCTCTACCAACCGCGACAGCAGCATCCCAGAGCATAGTTGTGATGAAAACTCATGGCCGGACGGACGTCTGACTGAGTTTCTCTGGGCGGTGTACGGCCAATGCATTCCTGGGAACTGCGTCCCGCCCAACCAGCGCTGGGAGGGCAAGCGTGTGGCCGCGGCGCGGGTCGTCGCCCACCTCACCAACGGCGAGAAGCATAGGGAGGCCTGGGTGAGGTACGCCACGACCCTGGCCCCGGCAAGTGGCCTTAGTCCCATCAGACACGAAATGGGCACGCTGACGAGCTTTCTATTCAGCCTCAGTGCCGATGCCCTCGTCTCCGCGTCCATCACTTCCCTGGCCGAGTCACCTCCGCCAGTCGTGCAGACCATGAATGAGGACAGGCCTGACGCCCCTACGGCGGCCGACACAGACAAGTCCCTGGGTACGAGAGACAACGACTCCCGTCTTGGCCTCCCAGACCCGCCCGACCACACGGTCAAGGATGAGAGCGGGGAGGGCGTGATCCCCCCTACGGAGAAGGTGGAGTCACCCGACTACGGAGAAGGTGAGCCCCCTCCTCCTGTATCCTGCTCGGACTCGGCCACGGAGGTCGACGACAATGGCCCAGGCGGCATTTCGCCTCGGCGGAGCCCATCGACAGACAGTTCTGAAACCACCTCCGAACGTGAACCGGCTGCCGCCGGGGATGGCCCGGCGAATCCCGACCACAGCACCAGTGTTGCCAGGAGATCTGAGGACGAGGAAAGCGCCCGCGACAGGGGTGACGTGCGGACCGAGCGCCCTCCACTGAGTACCCCACAGGTCCCCCTGGATATAGACCCACCTACCCTCGCCCAACAGGCTCGACGGAGCGCGATGCGCTCAACCTGTTGACCGACTCACATGGGGGACCCATGTATCAGGTCTGGCTGGGCACGGTGGACTTGGAGCGTAGCGACGAGACACCCGCCAGACGCCTCGCCAGGTACCAGTCGGAGTTGGGTGCAGTTTTCTGCGCGCTGTGGACCGCGCACACGCAGCGCATTTGGCTCCCTGGATCCAGGGGGCCCAAATCAGACCCGAGACTGCACACGGATACGACCATCATCAACTTCTTTGACGACTGGAAGGGCTGCGGGTACAACGCCTACCTGATGGACGCAAGGTATGGCTATCGCATTGACTGGGACAAACTGCGGGCCAACTACCTGCGACGCACCAGACCCGACGGCAGGGGCAAAGGCAACCACCAGCAGAGCAGCTGGCGGGACCGTGCTACGAGCTCCTGGGACACCTGGGGTAGCTGGCAGAGCGACTGGAGTGAAGGCTGGCGTGACGATCGCTGGCAGACGGGTGGCAAGCGAGGGGGAGGCAGACCCGACGACCGAGACGAAAAGAGACACCGATGGAGAGACTGAGCCCACTCCCCCCTTCACCCAGCTTCTATACATCCTGAGCGACAACTCACTACACACTACGCGCAGCCTTCAGCTGCCTTACTTCTCCCTCAACTGCGTGGCAGCCAGGCTGCCCACTCTCCCTGGCCCGCACACTTCCTGCCTTTGGACCCAAGTGTGCCGGCCAGCAATACCATCTGCCTCGCTGCGTATGGGAGCGTAGCCTGCAGACCCTACTTGGCCCCTGGCCCCGTTGTAGTGTTTCTCACCAGTGGCCCGATTGGTCCCGTGCCCAGCTAAGCTGCCCTGAGACCGATTGGGGCTCACACCTGAGCGTACCTGTACCCTGGGATTCTGTATCAGACGACGGCCTTCAGCCGTGCTTTGGTCTTCGGACCCGCTTGCGGCATTCCGCCGCCCCTCCTGGTGCACGCACTTCCTGCCTTTGGACCCGAGTACGTGTGCCAGCAACACCGGCCACACCGCTTCCTCGTGTTGCGTGTGGCCATAGTGGCCCCGGGCCTTACTGTAGCTGTTTTCACTGCCAGGCCTGCCTGGCGCGCAGCGTTCGCGGTCGACGACCTGGCGGTTTCCGCCCCGTCCCCGGATCTGCGCTCACTCCCTAGGACTTTCAAGTTACAACGGCCTTCAGCCGTCTTATTTCTTTCCTGTGAGTAACGTGACACGGTTGGATGGGCGGCCCATCGCCGCGGTTTGTTACGCCATGGGCGGGAGGCACACCTGGCTGGCTGCCTCACTGACTGGACCGACGGTCTCACCCGATCAGCTCCGCTCACCGTTGACACGCGTCTACCTCGTGCTGCTCGGTTTCGGAGTATGAAGGTTCGGCCCACGTTGCTCTCCCGCACATTCCGGTGTGCGGTACTCCCTGGGACTCTGTGACTGTGATGGATTCGCCGTCTTGGGTATACGACGGTTGCTGTCCTATCGAGCGCACACGCATGGTTGTGTTAGCCGCCTGGCGCTACGTCACATAGTTGTTCGGTGCACGTCACTCTTGAGCCCTGCGTTCTCGCTGTGCTTATGTGTACCCTCTTGCGTCCTGACCAGTTTGCTGGTTTCTGTACGCAGGCGCATCGCTCCGCCGTGGTTGGGTCCTCTCTGGCTACTCTGGCCTAGATCCTTTGCGTGGATGCGTTTTCTGATGTTGCGACAGTTCGCTGGCGCCGTCAGAGCCTCCCTTGCTGGACGACGTCACCAGTACTGCCTGATCACCCGTCAGGTTCCCTGGGTGACCTTCCTGCACGGTGGTAGTCCCTACCACGCGGTCCTTCTTACTCGGGCGCGACGGGACGTACTGCGCGCCATTTTGGCTGCGCTTGGCTCGCCTCACGGTTGACTTCGCTGACTCCCTGGGTCGCAGCTTGCACGTTTGTCTCAGGCGACTGACCTTCCGACTCCCTGGGGTTGCACGTCGCTGGCTTCTCAGACGCCCTGGGTTGCCGCTCCCGCCGCCTGAGCCGCGGCTTCGCGCGCGCTCGGGAATTTCGCCACGGCCGCGGCCCGACCGTGACTGCTCGCCGCTGTGCGCTTCCGCCTGCGGCCGTAAAAAATATCCCGGCAAAACAACCTAACAGCGATGTGTAGGGGCATATCTGGAAGCATTCCCCTTAAGATTCACATGATAATCCAGTTGTAGAATTCTGCTGCTCTCGCAGTCGCAGTCGCATTCGCGATGCAAGTCACAGTGGCAACGGCAGTCGCAGTCACAGCCTCAGCCTCAGCCTGCCTCAGCCTCAGCCTCAGCCTGCCTCAGCCTCAGCCTCAGCCTGCTTCAGCCTCAGCCTCAGTCTGCCTCAGCCTCGGCCTCAGCCTCAGCCTGCCTCAGCCTCAGCCTGCCTCAGCCTCAGCCTCAGCCTCAGCCTCAGCCTCAGCCTGCCTCAGCCTCAGCCTCAGCCTGCTTCAGCCTCAGCCTCAGTCAGCCTGCCTCAGCCTCAGCCTCAGCCTCAGCCTCAGCCTCAGCCTCAGCCTCAGCCTCAGCCTGCATCAGCCTCAGCCTCAGCCTCAGCCTGCCTCAGCATCAGCCTGCCTCAGCCTCAGCCTCAGCCTGCCTCAGCCTCAGCCTCAGCCTGCTTCAGCCTCAGTCTGCCTTCAGCCTCGGCCTCAGCCTCAGCCTGCCTCAGCCTCAGCCTGCCTCAGCCTCAGCCTCAGCCTCAGCCTGCCTCAGCCTCAGCCTGCCTCAGCCTCAGCCTCAGCCTGCCTCAGCCTCAGCCTCAGCCTGCTTCAGCCTCAGCCTCAGTCTGCCTTCAGCCTCGGCCTCAGCCTCAGCCTCAGCCTTCAGCCTCAGCCTCAGCCTCAGCCTGCCTCAGCATCAGCCTGCCTCAGCCTCAGCCTCAGCCTGCCTCAGCCTCAGCCTCAGCCTGCTCAGCCTCAGTCTGCCTTCAGCCTCGGCCTCAGCCTCAGCCTCAGCCTCAGCCTCAGCCTGCCTCAGCATCAGCCTGCTTCAGCCTCAGCCTCAGCCTCAGCCTGCTTCAGCCTCGGCCTCAGTCTGCCTTCAGCCTCGTTCTCAGCCTCAGCCTGCCTCAGCCTCAGCCTGCCTCAGCCTCAGCCTCAGCCTGCCTCAGCATTCAAAATGTGGCCCGGGAATTAAGTTCTGGGAACTCGAAGACCACGAAGTGGCCTACAGTTGGCTCCGGGCACCCAACATGTGGCCCGGGAATGGAGTTCTGGGAACTCGAAGACCACGAAGTGGTTTACAGTTGGCTCCGGGCACCCAAAATGTGGCCCGGGAATGGAGTTTTGGGAACTCGAAGACCACGAAGTGGCGTACAGTTGGCTCCGGGCATCCAAACTGTGGCCCGGGAATGGAATTCTGGGAACTCGAAGACCACGAAGTGGCCTACAGTTGGCTCCGGGCATCCAAAATGTACGCCGGAAATGGAGTTTTGGGAACTCGAAGACCACGAAGTGGCTTACAGTTAGCTCCGGGCATCCAAAATGTACGCCGGGAATGGAGTTTTAGCAGCGCCAAGAGCAATTTTGCGAGGATGTCCTAAGCGATTTGGGCTTCGACGGCAGCCGCCCCGGGTCCCGCCCCGACCCCCCTGAGGAGTCATGATGCTCTCTTTTGAGCCTATTAGAAGCCTATCAGTCTTCGCTGTTAGGTAAAAAAAATATCCCCACCAGCCTATCCTACACCAGGCACTCGAACGAAGAGCGCCGATGATCGGCAGCTGTTCTCCTCCCCCTCTTCCTCGTTCTCCTCCGCCTTCTCCTCCTCCTCCCTTCCTCCTCCTCCTCCTCCTCCTCCTCCTCTTCTTCATCTCGGGTTTAGGGCAGAGGTTCGAAGCCCATGATTTTGGGATTGAGCAGAGATTCAGCGGGATGGAGACGGCGGCGACGAGGACTCCCCAGACCACGAGCCACGCAGAGAGGACGATCCCTAAGCCCACGCACCCCCCCAAGAGGGGGGGACGCAAGAGAGGAAGAGAGAAGAAGAGGAGGAGGGCCCGCAGGGGGGGAGCTTGGGCTCAGGGTGTCCGAGAAATAGCGCCAGGCCCACCAGGGCCGAACCAGGGCCAAACACAAGATTTACGAGCCGCGACCGGCTGCCGAAACCGTCCAGTCTACACAGCTACCTGGCCAGTGTGTGCAGAAGCTTCAAGCATGTGTCGAATGGCTTCCCCTCAAACTGTGTCTGGCCGACAGGGTATACACTGCAAAATGCGAAATGCTACACTGAGACATGATGCACGCTACATATGCGGTGGCAGCCAACTAGTCTCACCTGTCACACGATTGAAGAAGTACGTCACGCCGCTCGCAGGGTCGCGTGCCATCTCCCAGCTTTGAGGCAACACGGGCGGCAACTGTTGTCTAAGTGCCTGGAACTGTCGAACTAGGGCCTGCATATCCACCACGTTGCTAGCAGGCGTCTGGCCTGAGACCGCGGGAGGCTGCTGCATGAAAGCTCCTTCATCTGTCACAGCTGCCGAAACCATGGCCTCGGGCGTTTCCGGCACTGGAGTCGGCTCATCGGCATGCCGCACTGGAGCGGAAGAGCGCGCTGTCGCAGAAGGCGGCGCGGCTACACCAGCTGCACCGGTCTTCCCGTCTGCGCTGGTCTTCACGTCCTCCACAACCACAGTGGTTGCAGCAGGCCTCTCCGCCGAGTGACACGAGCTTGCCCCTACCGAGGGAGCTCTGCTCGGCATGGGCGTGCCGCGCCGGCGCCGAGGTGCTGAGCGCTTGCCGAACTCCTCCTCCTCCGGCTGCTCGTCCTTCGGCAGCGCAGCGGGCGCAGCACGAGGTGCTGGGGCCTTTGCCCCATCGTCTTCTTCGGCACGCGAAGGGAGAACAGGATCATCGCGACGAAGCTGTGGTTTGTCCAGCCAAATCTGCACAACTGAGGTACCGTCGCTATGTGCATGGCCACGATCTGTGGCAGACAGAGTGCCGAGGGAGCTGATGAGGTCCTCGATGACCGAGCTAACCACCAGCGAGTGTGCAGGACCAGGAGGCGCACGCTCCGGAGACAGCACTATCTTGTACTTCATCTTGACGGGGTCCTTGGCCTCGCCGATGGAAATGTGGACACGCCGAGTGGCCACCTGGCGCTGAATCCACCGGAGACGAGCAAGAACAACCATGGTAAGAAAAAGGGGGAGTTGGGTCAGGTGAATGATGTGAGCCGCTCTCTAAGCAAATGCTCGATCGAGACGGCTCTCCTCCTCCTCCTCCTCCTCCTCCTCCGCCTCTTCCTCTTCCCTGAGGGCGTCTTGGAAGTATCTTCGAACGTTTTGGTGGGCTCTTGGGCCTCGCGGGCGGGCGGGCGGCGCTCCGCCCGCCCGCGCGCAGGGCGCAAGAGGAGAGTCCGAGACGTCTCTTGAGGCCCTCTTGGAGGACATCGATCGCAGAAAGGGGGAAGCATTTTTTAGCGTCGCCCCCCTGGGGGGCACGAACCTCGTGAGGGGTGTCGAATTTTAGCCCTCCCAGGGGTCGTTCTTGGACGCTCTAACTACCCGCGGCCCCCCCTGTCCAGGTCAGTGGGGAGGGGGATAGGGGGAGGGGTAAACCCTTCCCCGAAGGGGAAGAAGGAGGGGTGGAAGAGGAAACGCTCTAAACCACCGACGCCCAGAGGGCTGGTGGGATTATAACAAATAGTGTAAGGATTAGGAAGAAGAGGAGGAAGAAACGGGAGGGGAGGACGCAGGAGGAGGAGGAATGGGTGGACGCGGGGGGAGGAGGATCCTGGAGAGCTCATATGGCCATTTGGAATCGTCTTGGGACGGTGTTGGAGCGTCTTGGAACATCTTCGGTGCCATCTTGAGGCAGGTTGCGCTATCTGGGGGCAGCCGCTTGGAATCGTCTTGGAGCAGTCTTCGAGCGTCTTGGAACATCTTCGGAACCATCTTGAGGCAAGCTGCGCAATTTTCGGCCATATTGGAGGCTATCTTGGGCTCCCCGAAGCTCTTTCGGAACCGTCTTGGCCCATCTTTCCTTATCTTGTGAGCCTCCTGGAGGCCTCTTGGGCGTCTCTTGGGGCGTTCTTGAAGCGCTGTTGGAGGCCTCAGAGGCGCTGGTAGAGCCCATATTGGAGGGGATCTGTCAAAGAAAGCGGAATCACTAATTAGCGTCGCTCCTGGAAAGCCTCTAAAATCGCCTCCTGAACCGCTCTTGGAGGGCTCTTGGAGCGCTCTTGGGCGCTCTTTGCGCCGTCTTCGGGCTTTCTTGGGCCCTTTTTGGAGCTATATTGAGCCATCTTGGAGCTATCTTGACGCCTCGGGTGGGCATCGGAAGCGAAAGCGCGAGAACGCCAAAAACATTGATTTTCCTTAGGATTTTGACACATTTTGGCTTCTTGGGGGCATCCGAGGGGAGCTCTAGTGGACACTTAGAGCCGTCTTGGGGCTGTCTTGGAGCGTCTTGGAGCATCTTCGGAACCATCTTGAGGCATCTTGCGCTATCTTGAACAATCTTGGAGGCGATCTTGGGCTCCCTGAGGCCATCTTGGAGTCGTCTGGGCTCATCTTGGAGGCTCCAACGAACGCGTCGCGGCCCCCCCTGTCCAGGTCAGTGGGGAGGGGGTAGGGGGAGGGGTAAACCCCTCCCCGAAGGGGAAGAAGGAGGGGTGGAAGAAGAAACGCTCTAAACCACCGACGCCCAGAGGGCTGGTGGGATTCCGAAGGGGCGCGGAATGCCAAACAGGGCGCCGAAAACCAAGGGGGCGCCGAAAACCAAAAGGGCGCCAAAGGGGTGCCGAAAACCAAACGGGAAGGTAGCTTCGAAGTCCCCCCTTCAGCCTGGGGCGGCCCGGCTGGGAATGCCAACGACAGGAGGGGAGGGGGGAGGTGGCCTCGGAAGCCTCCCCCCCCCCCCCCCCGGAAAGGGGGGCCCGACCTTGCCCTGGACTCCGAAAAGGCAAGGAGGGGGGGGTAGCTTCCCATCCCCTCCCCTGGAGCCAGGCGCCCCCCAACCACAGAATCTGGATGAATGTGGGGGCGAAGAGAACTCTGCGCATGCACCGATCCTGACAACGTCCATCCTTGACCCAGGATCGCTGCATATACCTTCTTGGCCAAGGTAAGAGGGCGCATGCACCGATCCTGGGCTCAGGATGGGCCTGGCCAGAATCCGTGTATGTGCATCGTTCTCTTTCCTCTGGGTGTAGCTTCGGACGGCCCCCCGCTTTGCCCCGCTTTGGAAAGGGGGGCGTGGGCTTGCCCGGGCCCCGAATAGGGGGGGAGGGGGGGGGTAGCTTCGGCCCCCCATTTTTCCAGAGGGGGGGGGGGCAGCTCGAAGGCAGGGCCCCCGCTTCGTATTCGGGGCCCTGCGTTCTCGCTCTCTCGTGCTCTCCACACTCGCGCTCCCCATTCTCCTTCTCTAGGTCTCCCATGTCCATGTCTCTCTCTCTTCTTTTCAATGACCTCCTACCTGTCGCATCAACAGATGTGGCCTTAGAGCAGGCCGGGCGTCTCGCCTGAGGCGTTTTCACCGTTTGCGAATCAGAAGTTTGCCCATTTAAAGTGTTACGCGTATGGTGGACGAGCTGCTTTTAAAGTTGGCCTCTCATCTTGGCGTCGCGCACGCTTGCCTCAAGCATGTGCCAGACTGCGTATCGTTGTCAACATGCGGCTCTCGTCTGAGCGCCGCGCACACACACACACACTTCGTAATCTCTTCGAGTAGTCAAACGGATGGAGGGCGAATTGTTTTCTGAAGGGGCCCCTCCCCTTTGCACCGCGCGCGCTCGTTTTAGCAACCTCCAAGAGTTGCACGGATGGAGGGCGGCTCATATCGAGATGATCTAATCGCTTGAGATTGTTCGCACATGCTGCCACGCGTGTAAACAGGTACACTGATGGAGGGCTGTTCGTTTTCAGAATTGTGCTCTTCATTGAAGCTTCGTTGGTCTCCATGACCACGGTAGCAGCAATACGGGATGAGCAGTGGCAGTTGCACGGGATAAGGGTAAGTCCTTTACAAAGTGGAGCCGTCGCTGGGCACTTCCTTCAGCTTTCCAGCCTCACCTTGTCGCATTCCTGATCGCCCGAAGGATGCACATGACTTTCTTTCAAAAAGGACTTCCCGCCTGGAGTGCGGGCCCGTGGGGCTCTCGTCGTTCAGGGGGGGCGCTTTCGCTCAGTGACAAAACATGCCACCAGGGATTTGTGAGGAGGGTACTTGGGATTGGAGGGTGGATTGCAAAGTCGTTGGTCTACTTCCGCTTCAATCTGGTCCTCCTCTTCCTCGTCCTCCTCCTCGTCCTCCTCTCAGTCGTCTGCCTCACCCCTCCCATCTCCCGTCCTGGACGCCTGGCTTGGTCTGCGCCAGCCGCCACCCCCTGGGCGGGAAGAGGCAACGAAGGAGTTCTCCGAGAACACGATCAAGACTCTGCAGCCATTCCTGGAGGCCGGGGAGGAGGAGGGGCGAGGGGGAGGAGGGGGCGACGGTGAGAAAGTGGAGGACGTTGAGTGGCAGGGTGGAGGAGGGGGGGGGACAGGGCGAAAAGGAGAGAGGGCGAGGAGGAACAAGAGGAGAAGGCGGAGGAGTAGAAGGATGATGATGAACACGAAAGAGGAATATATATATATATATATATATATATATATATATTAAACTGTCATTATGTTCGAGCGTTTTTGGGGCCGTCTCGGGGGGGTATCCCACAGTTGGAGCAACATTCCAAGGTGTTTCTTTTTACGGCGCTAGCAATGTTGTGGTCTCTGATTTGCTGGGCATGGTGCAGGAGGGCAACAGTTGGATGTGCTCGTTAGAAATGGTCGCGCTCGTTGAGCGCCCATGTCTGGCGAATTCCATTTATCAGCTCTCAGGCCAGAGCCTCTTGGGATCTGTGCCTTACCGCAAGAACATTATCGTGGGATCTGTGCCCAGCGTGTGTGCTGGCGTGGAAAGCAGCGTGTGCATATCGCTTTGCGCTACAAGTATTGGGTACCGCTATTGTAGTAACGTATCCTTTGGCAGGAGCACGTTTGATACCACCGCAAGCATGCTGTTTAATATTATGCCGAGGCATTCGACCACATGGTCGTTGACGGAGCTTCGAATGATTCGAGTGGCCTTTCGCCATTCCGCCGACCCGCAGAAAGAGTCAGGGCTTGGGACGATCTCGGGAGTGATCGAGTGGCCGTCGGCCCAACCCGCCTCTGTGCCTGGGCTGTGGGCCAGGAGCTTCTTGGATGAATCTAAAGGTCTCTTGGGACGCCTGTCAGGGGCCTCTTGGAGGGCTCTTGGATGCACCTGGAAAGTTTTTGTGGGCCTCTCGTGGGCCTCTTGGTGGCCTCTTGGGGGCCTCTTGGAGGCCTCTTTGGGGCCTCTTTGGGGCGCCTCGGGGGCGTCTGAGGGGCTCTTGGGGCCATCTTGGGGGGAGAGGCTCGAAAGATTTGTATTCCCCCTCTTGGGCTCTCTTGGGGCCCTCATGGGTGCTCTCTTGGGCCGTCTTGGGGGCTCCTGGGATCGTCTCAGGGCCTCATGGGCCGTGTTGTGGCGATCTGGGGGGTCCCTCGGGCAGTCTTAGAAGTTGTCAAGACGAAACAGACGATCGTGTTAAGAATGCACGTTTTCCTAATGCCTTGTGGGTCCTTGCCGGCTGTCCTCTTGAAACACTTTTGGGCCGCGTTATGGGCCGTCTTGAAGTCATCTTAGGTCGTCGTGGGGCTAGTCTGGACCAGCTCGACGCTTTCTTCGACTGACTTGGCGCTCTGTCTGGGCCCTCTTGGGGCTTTTCGGAGTCTCCAGAAGCCACGGGGCTCACACGCCTCTTCACCGCCGGCAAGCGGGTGTCGGCGCATCTGTAAGGAAAAGTAAAGGCGTTTCAATTTAATTCTCAATGAAGCGACGCCCACCCTGTTTCGTACGCCTCCGACTCGCATGGGCTATGGCCATCGCAACCACAGTGGGGGTATGGCTCCAGATGGTCTCCAAGACGCTACCGACGGAGAATGGCGTTTCCTGTTACTTCTCCGCTCCTCCTCATCCGCCTCCTCATACGCCGCATCTCATCATCCTATTGCTCTGTTCCTGTCATTTCTCGTTCTCATCCTCCTCATTTTGCCCTCTGGGCGCAGGTGGTCTAGAGCGTTCCCTCTTCCCCCTTTACTTCTTCCCTTTCGGGGAGGGGTTTACCTGTCGTCCTGATTAATTTGCATTCCCTCCCACACCCGACCGGCGACAAACCCAGGACCATGCCGACCACCCCCCGCCA